CTGTCCTCTATTGGTTGCGCCATAGGTTGCGCCCTCGGCGGCGGAGAATAAAACAGCCTCCTATTGGCCTTTTGGTTGCGCCATAGGATGCGCCCTCGGCCGCCGAGAATCCAACCGTCTCCTATTGGTTGCGCCATTGGTTGCGCCCTCGGCGGCCGAGAATCAAACTGTCTTCTATTGTTTGCGCCATAGCTTGCGCCCCTGGCGGCCGAGAACAAAACCGTCTCCTATTGGTTGCGCCATATATTGCGCCCTCGGCCGCCGAGAATGAAACCGTCTCCTGTTGGTTGCGCCATAGGTTGCGCCCTCGGCCGACTAGAATGAAACCGTCTCCTATTGGTTGCGCCATAGGTTGCGCCCTCGGCGGCCGAGAATAAGACTGTCTCTTATTGGTTGCGCCATAGCTTAAGCCCTCGGCCGCCGAGAATACAACCGTCGTGTAACGGGTGCGACCAGTCAGTGGTCAGTCAGTCAGTCAGTCAGGCAGTCAGTCAGTCGGAATTTACCTCGCGAGAAACAATTTCGGGATTCGCCAGGACAGAAAAAACGATACAACGTGCCCGCGGGCCTCACGACCATGACGCAAGACTTTGCCCCAAAGTGGATTCTGTATTGTTTTTGACAGGGATGATGGGGGGACCCGCATCGGCTTGGTTGCGCATCGGCTTGGTTGCGCAGGCTCCAAATTTGGAGGCAGAGTGTATGTTGTATGGTTTTTTACAGGGATGGTTGTGGGGCTGGGGAGCATCGGGTCGGCATTGTTCCGTTTGGCCGCCAGTCGCCTGGGGGTGGGTGTGTGTGTGTATCTTTAGGAAGACTGAGGATGGAAGGGGACACGCTCTGAACCACTCACGCCCTAAAGGGCTAGTGGCATTTGTTTCCTGGCCGCTCTCAGGAGTACACTCTCTCACCGAAGATCAACGCTCGCATGATGATTGTGAACAAGGAGCTGCTCGGAATCATATCCACTGGTGACTCTCCAGAGGAAGTGGTGGCAGCCTGGAGCGAAGCTCCACGTCTCACCACGACGTGACCTGGGCCCCGCCAAACGTTCCTTGATTCCTCTGGCGGTCGCTCGGCTCACATACCCTCAGTGCCCCCTTCCTTGCCGCAGTTGGTTGCCGCGATTTCTGAATTGACTCACGTCACGAACTCTGGGTTGTGTTGCACCTTTGCCTTTCCAGAGCGGCGTTCTCTCTGATCGGATGCCGGATGGCGCACCTGGCGTAGGGGGTGGTGTTGACCCCCTCGGGTTCGCTGCCCTCTCTGAGCTCCCTCGCTGGCTCCCGTCTTGATCTCTTGATTGGTCCACCGCGGCACCGCCGCCTGCGTCAGCGGCGATCGCACGCGCCTGGTGAGGGTGACGACTGCTTTAGGCCTGTCGCGGCAGTGTCATTGGATTGGTTTCGGAATTCTTCCAGATCGTGGACTTTCTGTTTCGTCTGGTGCAGGGCTGTTCCATGAGCATCATGTTCACGTCCGCTTGCGGGCAACTCAGGCCTGCGCACCGGAGGAGCTTAAGTTCTCAACACGCTGTTCGCATACTGATCCCTGCGTTGCTCAAAGTTGGCCACGGCCTTTTCCAGTGTTCTGGATACCAGGCATTTCTCGTTTACTGATGGCGATGTTTTTGAGTCTCTCGTGGTCAAGGGCTGCATGGTTGATTGCTGTCTGTGTAGTCGTCTTGGTTGTCGTGGCATGCGTGCACATGCCTCCCCTTCCCTGAACTCTGCCTCCATGATTGCATGATGCCCCTCCCATCCCCTCCATTCCCGATTCCCTACCTCATCCTCTCCCTTCCTTCCCTTCCCCTCCCCGCACCTCTCCTTCACGTCTTTCCCCGTCCCCTCCCTCCGCTCCCCTTCCCTTTCCCTCCAATCTCCTTCCCCTTTCTCTGCAGGTCTGAAGTTTGGGGTCAGAGCAGATCAGATCGGAGGATCGCTCCGCATCGCCGCTGCATCGGTGATGCTGCTCGGTGTGGAGCCCGATTATCTCCACGCCGACGTCTCTAATGTATAATCGACGTCGCCAACTCATCGGCGATGCATAGGCGATGCGGCGCGATCCTTCTATTCTCTCTCCCTCCGTTTCTTCCACTTCCCCTGCATCTCCGTCATGTTTTCTTCTGGAGTCGACTAATCGATCGCTCCCGTGCTCTTACTCTTGCCCTCGCCTTCGCCTTCGCCCTCTCTCCCTCCATCCCTCTCTCGTTCTCTCTCTCTCTCTCTCGCTCTCTCAGTTTCTCTCTCTCTCTCTCTGTGTATCTCTCTTTTTTTTTTGTTCTCTCTCTCTCTCTCTCTCTCCCTGTCTCTGTCGCACTCTCTCTCTCTCCCTCTGCACCTCCCTTCCGTGCCTGTTTTTTGTTTTGTTCATGTTTTTTTGTTGTTCCCCCCCCCCTCTCTCGCTCCTTCTCTCTCCCTCTGTCTGTTTGCCTGCCTTGTTGTCTCTCTCTCTCTCTCTCGCCCCTCTCGCCCCCTGTCTTCCAGACGTGCCCTGGCGCAGACCCCCCCCTCGCCCAGGCCCCACGCGGGTCGGCCTCTCCGCCTCCCTGCCCCCTCCCCGGGCAGAAGCTCCTCATCTTCGGGGGGCTGCTCTTCTTCGGCACTTGTGTTTGATCGAGTCTCAAGCGAAATGGAAACTAGGCTACGCGTTTCGCCCCCTAGGGGCCCTTCGAGCCAAACTGCCTACGGTGCAGCATCGAACGAACAACGTCGACGATGGGACCGGGGGCGGAGCTGTCAGATGCAGTGTACAGTGTGGCATTCAAAAACCCCCTGCTCCCACCCACCCCGCCGGCCTCCCCAGGCAGAAGTTTATCATCTTCGGGGGGCTGATCTTCTTCGGCTTCTTCCCCACCGCCTGGGCCGCCTACAACAAGAAGGCACGGCGGCCCCCGAGAGCGGTACGACAGGGGGGGGGGCAGGAGTCGGGAGTGCGCCGCCGGGCGAGGAGGCAGCGAGGCCCGCTGTCGCCAGTCCCGTTCGCTCTGAGTCTGTCGCAGCGCCATACGACGGGCCAATTTTTCCATTACCACTACCACAGGTAGGACGGGGGAGGAGGGACGATGGGGAGGTCTCCTCCTCCTCCTCCTCCTCCTCCTCCTCCTCCTCCTCCTCCTCCTCTTCCGCCTCCTCCTCCTCCTCCTCATCATCATCATCATCATCATCATCATCCTTCTCCTCATCCTCCTCCTCCCTCTTCTACCTATGGTAGTGGTTGTGGAAAATCGGCCCTTCGCTATGAGCCCGTCTATGAGCGCAACACACCCGCCTCAGCGGCCACGCATCTTGCTGGGCACACCGCGCCCGCTCTCCCCCCTGGGGGACGCGCTACCATCAACTGGTGGCCCCGGCACTGATTGCATAGCACCCGTGGCCCACCGGACATACTCTGGTGCCTGCACTGCGCCCCGCCGCTGCTGGACCCCGGTGCAGCAGTCGCCGCCGGCGTGGCCGGCCGCGCCACGCGCTCCGAGAGTGACCCATCCCCCTGAACGCCCCTCGCTCCTCCTCCCCCTCCTTCGGCCGCCCGCCCCCCTTTCTCCGTCGTTCGTTCGTGCATAGTGGCACAATGCGCTACAGCAGTGCCCCCGTTTAGTCAGCTTTTCCGCCAGCGAAGTTACTCTACCTAGCCGCTGAGGCAAAAAGCGTTTGAATCGAACACGTCCCGTGTGCAGAATGTCCGCAGCTCGCATGCTGCTTCTTCTTCTTCTTCTTCTTCTTATTATTATTATTATTATTATTATTCTTATGCGGCATCCCCTGCGCGCGGGCTTTTATGGCCTCAGCGGGCTCCTCTCCCTTCCCCCTCGCGCCCTTCTCCTTTCCGCTTTCGTGCCTTAGTTCGTTTCTGGTGCACCGCTTGCTGACAGGCGTCTGACTGTCTTGGACCACCTGGCGCCCGCCGACTTACAAAAGTTCAAAGCGTCCGTGTCAGCACGCTGCGTGTTGGCTCTGCACGTGTTGGGCCCCGTTCAGGCGAACGCGCCGCGCCAAACGTACGTCTTCGGTCCACATGTTGAGCTCTTCCGTGCCAGAACGTCTGGGGGTAGCGCGTTGCGTATCGGGGCGGCCGACCCTCCCCCCCCAGATGGGATGGGGGCTGGGCGAGGGCGGCGACTTTGAAGACGACGGCGAGGAGGGTGGCTACGACGAGAACGAGGGCAGCGACGCTGCCGACAACGACGACGATGACGCCGAGGGCAACGGCGACGACGGCGACAAGAACGCAGACCACAACGGCGACAAGAACGCTGCACAACAGCTCCGCGCCACAGCTCTGGCAGGGGCGGGTGTGGGGGGGGGCACCGCGCGACCTCAGATCATGATGTCGGGCCCGCGCCCCTCCTGAGAGCGAGCCCCACGCCGCACAAACGGGGCCGCCCCCTTCGCTCCGCCTCTTTGTGCCCGTCGCCGAGCAGAGCATCGCGCTGAGGCGAACAGCACGTGGAGCGGAGATCTGAAGGGGAAAGCAGGGAGAGGAAGAGGAGTGTGAGGAGGAGGGGGAGGAGGAGGAGGAGGAGGAGGAGGGGGAGGAGGAGGAGGAGGAGGAAGACGAGGACGAGAGCGACAACGCGGGAGAGCGACGACGAGGATGACGAGGACAACGAGGAGTTGAAGAAGGGCAGGCGCACTTACTGTACCCCTCCTAGCACGGTCGCCCTCGCTCAGCGTCAGCTTGGTGGGGGTGGAGGCCTGAGATGTGGTGCCCTTCCCCCGGAAGACATGGTATGGCTCAGCTCAGTCGGCCAGTGGTTGGCGTGGGCCCTAAATACGTTTGCGGTTTAATGAGTTCCCATAGGCGGTTAGTCTCGCGTGTAGCGTGCCACCAGTTCCACCCTGCTTAAATCGCTCCCTTTCCTCCTTGCTCTTCCATCTCCTCCCTCCTGCTCCTTTCTGTTGCTCCTCCCGCATCTGCCCCCTCCCTGCTGCCCCTCATCATTAGGAGGCGCGGTCCCCGATGCCAGCCTCTGGGGAAAGCAGGGCTGGCCTTCAGGTTCAATGCTTCGCGGAGTCCGTTGTCGTCACGGCCATCCACTATTGGTTCTGCGATTATGCGGAGGGCCATCGCCTTACACAGCAGGCGTAGAAGCAGGAGGAGAAGAGGGGGTAGGGAGGAGGAGGAGCAGCAGCAGCAGCATCAGCAGCAGCAGCAGCGAGTGAGAGAGGCACCACTGGATCCCGGCGCAGCCTCGACGGGGCACGCCTCTTGAACGCTCTTGAGACGGACAAGGCGCTAATGATGAATTGATGCAGAAGGCAGGAGGGTTTGAGCGATTGTGCCCCCAGGGTTGCCAATACGGCCCAATCTGCCACCAAGGCAGCTCCATACGGGCCCTGGAACCATTCAAGGCCACGCTGGAAGTGTGCAGTCCTAGCTAGGCTCCCAATGTCTTCGGACACATCATGCGCACCACCGCGGTAGCGCCAGGAACGCCCGGACCTCCAGGCCCTGTGCTCCTAAAGATCATGTCCTATACTGTCAGTGAGCTTTGCGACACTCCATCCAGTGCCAACGGCGTGATGGCGGATTTACACATATGTACATGTATAGTCATAATGTACAAGTAGCCATATCTGCAATCATATATTCACATCGATCTTGCGACATCTAGGTTGCACCTTACACAGACAGCACCGCATCTATTCCATTTAGAGTGGGCATTCAGCCACTGTTTGGGTTTCACGCCATCCTTTCATGGGGGATTTCACGATATGGGAGATGCGCAGGCTTATTGTTCCAAGTTGACTACTTTCCGCCGTGGGACGGAGCCACCTGTACTTCTCCTTCTGTCTTCTCTCCAATGCGAAGTGTGAACGGTGCCAAGAGGCAGGGCTGTAGGAAGTTGGAGGAGGGGGAGGAGAAGTTGGAGGTAGAGGGTCGACAGACCGTGCTTGAGGGCCGCAGGAACGAGAGGACGGAGGAGGGATGAGGGGCTCGGGAGCTGCAGTCGCGTGCCCTAGCCTACTGCCCTCCCCATCCGAGAGGAGGGCTGACGGGTTTCATCTTGCGGAGACGGCCCCAGGCAGGTTTCATCCTAACGTCTCGCCGGCTCTTCCAGGCGCCGCGGGCCTCAGATAACCAAGTGGGGCAGCAGAATACTTGGTTCGAAGGTACACTTGACACACGTGCTTTGGTGCAAATGCCAGGTTCTTGTGGTTATTTTGGCCTGCTCGGTGTTCGAATCATGGTTCAGCTCGGTGGTCGCCAGCGTGTAACTAGGTTTGCGTTGTGTTTCGCGGAGCTTCTGTTCGCGCCGTACATTTGAACCCCATTTTGCGGAATTTGTCTCTCTACTCATCTTTCTCTTCCTCCTCCTCCGCTTCTTCTTTCTTCCTCATCCATGCGTTTATTTATAGAACAGCAGCTTTTTCTTTCAGGCCGCGTTTCACTACATGAGTTTGTCGCCTAGAGGTCGGCTCGTGTGGCGTTCCCAATTTGCACGGCGACCTTTCAGCTCGCCCTGTGGCCACGATTTGTCGAGATCCTGCGGCCTTGGCGAGAAATGATGATCTCTAGGATGCGAGGGCGCATGGACAAGCTTCCAGGGACCAAGCAAGGACATAAACATACGCTTTCGGAGGGCTGCGCGGATTCTCGGATCGGCGCTGGACCCCCCTCCCGAGCGCACGAAGCGCGCCAGGGGCGGCGCCAGGGGCGCCGCGCGGGGGCCCCAGCGCCGATCCGAAGAATCCGCGCGGACCCCGGAAAGCTCATGTTTATGTCGTGGCTTGCTCCCTTAAGCCTTAGGGGGCGCTCCAGGGCCCAACAACTTGAGGCAACACAGAAGCCGGCCGTCGCACGAGAGCAAGACATCAGCCCGCCGTGGGCGCAGACCACCCCGCTCCCAAGCCAGTTCTAGGTAAGAGCCTTCCCTCCGCCCAGCCCAGGCGCGCTCCAGCTGCTGCCGCTGTGATTTGCTATTATTATTATTATTATTATTATTATTATTATTAGTATTATTATTATTATTATGATTATTGTTATTATTATTATTATCATTATTATTATTTATCATTATTATTATTCGTATTGTTATTATAATTATAATTATTATTATTATTATTATTATTATTATTATTATTATTATTATTATTATTATTATTATTAATATTATTATTATTATTATTATTATTATCATTATTATTATTATGAGTAATCGTAATATGTGCTTGTGTGCTTCTGCTGTGCTATGTTGTGTTGTTTGTTCTTTGTTGCTCTCCCCCGAAGTTGATGGCATCTGAGTGATGGGACTCCTCTTGGTATGACGCTGCACGCTTTGATTCGGCGAATCTGGTTTGGCCTTTGTGTTTGGAATTTGCCTCGCGTGCCGGCTGGCTCGGCGCGGATGCTGCGGTGCCTGACTCGGGCCCGGCTGGCTCGGACGGAGGACTGGGGATCTGCTTCGCTCGGCCCGATGTGTTCGGCTTTGGTGCTGTACATCTCCTTTCCTCGGCCTGGCTGCTTCTCAGAGGAGGAGAAGGCACCGATACTGCTACCCTCGCCTCGTGTTCTCCTTTCGGGACCTCTGGGGCAGGCCCCCGTCGCCACCGCTGGATTCGTCTTGCAATTCAGACCAGAACGCAGCACCCCGGGAGATGTCCGGGGAGGACAGCGCTACCGGGCATCCTTGTGGTTTCCTCCTTCCCAGACCCCCGACGTAATGAATTTGTCATTACGTCGACCCCAGAGTTCTCGACCCCTTCCCCAGGACCCGCTTGTCATCCTGAGTCGTTTTTTGACGCTCCCGACGCCCGGTAAGGGCCCCCAGAGGCTGAAAATAGCGAAAAACCTCCCGTCGTGATTTTTTCATGACTCGAGGAGGTCTGGGTTGGGCGCAGATTTTGAGCCGGAGAGGATCCCCGTCGCTCCGGCAAGCGAGCAAAGCAGCGTCGCGCCACCCCTCTGCCGCGGCAGCGGGTGCTTCGGTGCTGCACCCCGCTCTCCTCTTGGCCCCGCAGGCGCGCCCCCCCCCCCCGCGCGTGAATGCCCGGCGAGCGCACCGACCCCCTCCTGGCAGGATCCAGTCCGATCCGATTTTGGGCGTTGCGTAATGGGGGCGTCATACATGGGGAGGTGGCGAGAGTGGTCCGAAAAGGTACCCAAACGGTACCTAAACGAGCCCCCTGGGGCTCCGGAGGGGCCCGAAAGGGGCACGAAAGGGGACCGTTTCTGACCCCCCCATTTATGACCCCCCCGTTAAGCCACGCCCAACGATTCATCCGATTTGATATCGCTTCCAGCCGGCCCGGCCCGATTCGATTGCGATATTTCGACGATCCGAGGCGGCCCAATGCTTGCATGGTGGCGTTGTGCATCCTGGCGCGCCCGATCCGATTCGACATCGACTCCGTGCCCGTACGGCCCGACTCGGCGCACATACTCGGACGGGGCCAGGGCGTTCCAAAGTGTTCCAGAAGGCTCGAGCCGCACGCTTCGTGGCAGCTAGCCCGGCGCAGCAGTGGGGTGAGAAGGGGCGAGGTGTAGAGGGCGCCCCACCTCACCCACAGGTCACGAAGAGGCCAGCGTACAGGGACATCTTCGGCAGGGTTGAGCCGCTGATCAAGATGGACGTCCAGCTCCCAGTGCAGCGTTGCTGCCTGCTGATGGTTCTGCCGCTGTCGACGCTACTACTCCTTCGGTTTCCAGTCTTCCTTTTGGAATTCCCGAAAAGCTGTTTCAGCTGTGTCCCACCACTGCTAGCATACGCGACCTCCCACTGCTTGACTATTAATCCTGCGTTGACCGTGTTCCGGATAGTCCGAGAATGTTTCAGTTGCAGCGACTGCAGAATATCCGCCCGAGCATATGATTGTGACTCGTGCCTTTGGTTGGGCCTAGCCAAGGGCGCAAAAGAGCTCTGTGGCCTCTGTTGCCTCACTTGCCGTCCATCGAACTTGATTGGGCCATCGAGGATCTATGTGTATATATATATATGTGTATATATATGCGACGTCATATTGCTCAGTTTGTTTCCGCTCAGTGTGAACATTATTTCAATAGCCTTGGCTTCAATCAGCCATACTGTCCAAGCTGCCAATCGGTCTGTTTATGATTCAGTTTGATTCACGGGGCGATTGGGCCTTGTCAGTTTTTGTTGTGAGTGTTTCTGTGGAAGTTGAGCGACGCGCAAGGGCACGCATGTGCCGGTCGCAAGGACCAGGGCGGCCTCTGAGGAAGCATGGCGTTCTTAGCGGACGCACAATACGAGAGTGCCGATCATCTAGGCATTCTCGTACTCTTGAGCTTCGGGCCCTGCGGGCACGTGTTCCACCCGACGGCCACCCGAATCGCGGACAAAAGGACGCGCAGACCCTTCAGGGGGTCTCGCCTCTCCCTGGGTGAGATCGGGGTCTGTTCAGGGAAGCAAAAGCCGCAAGGATATTTCCATTGGGCCTTCACTGGTTTCCCTTCACTTGCCCCTTCGTTTCCTTCACGAACCGATGGAGGTTGGAGGTGTGGAACCCCGTACCTCTGGCGACTCGATCTTTCAATTCGAAGGCGCCTCCAGGCCCCAGCTGTAGCCGGAGATGGCTCGTGAGGTCGGACAGCTGCCCAGGTCGGTGGGGGAGGGGGGGGGGTCCGGGGGGGCCAGAAGGAGATGGTGGGAGCGAGGGGTATCGAAGGGGAGGGGGGGTGCAAGAGGGAGACGTGGAGATGGGGGGGGGGGGGGCGGTGGGGCCAGGGGGAGAGGGTGGGAGCGAGGGGTAACGAAGGGGAGGGGGCGCAAGAGGGAGACGTGGAGAGGGGGGATGGGAGGTCCAAGGAAGCTGATCCTGCCCTGCCAGGTCGATTCGCCACAGACAGGGTGCCCTGTCAACGGGGGCGGCGTCCACCCCCGAAGGGGTGGGGGGCGAGGGACGGGGTCGCGGAGGGAGGGCGGTGAAGTTGGGAGAGCTGCTCAGGTCCTGGTCCACGACAGCGGGCTCACCTACAGCTCTATGACGATGGAGGCTCTTTTGCTGGTCCACCCTCCGATCTCTCTCTCTATCTCTCTCTCCGTCGCTCTCTCGCTTTCTCTCTCTCTCTCGCTGGCTCTCTCTCTCCTTTCTCGCTCCCGCTCTCACGCATGTTTCTACGCCTCTCCCTCTCTTTTTCTGTTGCTGCCCTCTCCATATCTCTCTCTTTCTCACTCTTTCCGTCTCCCTCTCCCCCTTCCTCTCCCTCGATCCGATATATACGTATATATAGTATGCTTATCTCTGTATATATTTTTATTTTTCTCTCTCTCTTTCTCTCTCTCTCTCCCTCCCTCCTTCTCTCTCTCTTTCTCTTTCTCTCTCCTCCACGCTCTTTCTCTCTCCCCCCTTATTCTCCCTCCCTCTCCTTCCTTACCTCTTTCAACATGTGTCTGTATGTGTATATGTAGATCTGGTTGCCAGTCAGGGCACCAGTTGGTGGATTACTGCGCTCTCGATGTGCATGACTTGTCGTGCGAGATATGTTTGGTACAACCTACGCTTTGCAATGTACGGGTTGCGAAACCGATGTCTTGCAATCCAAGTACTCAGTGCAACTATGGGTTGCAAACGATGGAGGGCAATAGATGGAGTGTAGCCAATGTGGTGCAAGGTGTTGTTTTGTGTGTTGCGGGGTCTATGTGGCGCAACTGAGGTTGTGCAATCAATGTAGTGCCGCAGGTGTCATGGAATGACTGGGGTTCAAGCAACATTCTATGTGGTGTAGTATATGTGGCGCAATCTACCTGTGGAAATAGCTGTCGTCAACTCTAGTGCTCGTGCAAGCTTCCGACCTTCCCACTCGGGACTCATTGGCAGAGCTCATTTGGCCATGATCTCAACGGGCGCACGAGCGCGTGGATTTCCTCCGCGCAGACAAGTCAACCCTGCAGGTCGCGAACATCTGGTTGCGATGGTTATGACCGTGACCCCAACGACGATGGCGATGACAATGGTGATGACACTGATGCCGATAGCGATGACAGTGAGGATGGGGACGATGCGTTGTCGACGACGATGCTGATGACTTGGTCGTGATTGGCAATGACTGTGGCAAAGTTGATGCTGGCGATAGTGATGACGATTATGCTGGTGATGATGATGATGATGATGATGATGATGCTGATGATGCTGATGATGATGATGATGACGATGATGATGATGATGATGATGCTGATGATGATGATAATGATGATGATGCTGGGGAGTGCCCACGCACAGAAGTTTGACGAGGACGATGGCACCGACGATAAGGATGATGACGGTGACGGTTATGATGACGACGACGGTGGTGATGATGATTACGGTGACGATGGCAATGACGACGTTGAGATGGCGATGCTGATTTGTTTGCGTTGCGGAGGGTGATGAGGAAGTGCGTGCCCATCTAAATTCATACCTCCTGACATCCCTTTGCTGAAAACTGTCAGGTTCCCGTATGTTTTTGGACACCTGTGTGTTGCACATGTTAGTGAACCAACGACTTTAGATAGGTTTCGACGTGCGCGCGCGGAGACGCGTGCTTGTGGCCTGCATGGTACCATTCGGCAGAGTTGGCAGGCGCGCGATAGTTGGCGAACGTTTTCGGCATGCGCGTGCGCGAGCGGCCCGCGTAGTCTCATGTGAATAATGCCTAACAACCTTCAATTTTCTTATGCGTTCAGCGAGTGCGCGTGTAGAATGATGGAAGCGCTGTGGTTGAGCACCAATGGTGTTTGATAGTTATGGTTTTGGAGATGCGCGAGAGTGGTCCGCATGGCTTTGCTTGACAGGAAAACAGGCCAACTGTGGTTGTCTTACCTTTCCAGCGTGCGCGCGCAACATTCTCGCAACTTTGTCGATGATGAAAATAGGTTCTCCTTAGCGTTTGGGAAGCTATGAGATGAAACCGTAAGAGAATGTGTGATTCCTGAGTGATTTTGGCGCGCTCGCGGCGGCGCGCGCATGTGCCCCGCAACATTTTCTGCTGCAAGGGATACCATCACACAATTCTCATACCAACTCACGTGCATCGAACTGTGCTTTTCTGTTGCAAGAGATGGCGAGGGGGGTCGATACCAGTCAAGCGATAATGCAGATTCGGTGTATGACACAACAATGAGCGTCTAGGGGGGGGCGCGAGAACCCTGGCCTCGGTGGGGTGGGGCCCATTTTGCGGCCGCTGGTGGTGGTGGTGCGTGGTGGTGGTGGTTCGGTGGTGTGGTGGTGGTGGTGGTGGTTTGTGGTGGTGGTGGTGGGTTGTGGTGGTTGTGGTGGTGGTGGCGGTGGTGGTGGTGGTGGTGGTTGTGGTGTGGTGGTTTGTGGTGGTGGCTGTGGAGGTGGTGGTGGTGGTGGTGGTGCTGGTGGTTGTGGTGGTGGTGGTGCGGTGATTTGTGGTGGTGGTGGTGGTGGTGGGCTGAGCTGCTGGTAGTGGTGGTGGTTGTGGCGGTGGTGGTGGTGGTGTGGTAGATTGTGGTGGTGGTGGTGGTAGTGGTGGTGGTATGTTGTGGTGGTGGTTTGTGGTGGTAGTGGTGGTGAGTTGTTGTTATGGTTGTGGTGGTGGTGGTTGTGGCTGTGGTGGTGGTGGTGGTTGTATGGTTTGGTGGTGGTTGTGGTGGGTCGAGGTGGTTGTGGTTAGTGGTAGTGGTGGTGGCGATGGTGCTGGTGGCGTGGTGGTTTGTGGTGGTGGTGGTGATGGTGGGCTGTGGTGTTGTTGATGGTGGTGGTGCTGCTGGTCGCGGTGCTGGTGGTGGTGGTGGGTGGTGGGTGGTGGGTGGTAGTGGTGGTGGTTTTGGTGGTGGTGGTGGTGGTTGTGGTGGTTGTGGTGGTTGTGGTTTATGGTGGTGGTGGTGGTGGTGGAGGTAATGATGTGGTGGTTTGTGGTGGTGGTGGTGGTTGCGGTGGGTTGTGGTGGGTTGTGGTCGTGCTGGTGGTGGTTGCGTTTTTGGTGGTGGTGTAGTGGTTTGTTGTGATGGTGGTGGTTGTGGTTGTGGTGGTGGTTGTGGTTGTGACGGTGGTGGTGGTGGTGTGGTGGTTTGTGATGGTGGTGGTGGTGTGGCCTTCGGTTCTTCCTGCCACCGTGTTTTGGCTTTGGGTCAGGGTTCTAATGGATGCCTCGTGAGGTCTCGCCAGACGGGTCTCGGGGCTTCTGAGGAGCATGTGTGAAGCCTCGTGGACTTTCTCAAGGGCCCCTCGGTGGCTTCTGGGGGCGAGGGCTCGATATGGCGATTTGCGTGTTCCCTCTGCGGCCTCTGGGCCCTCTCTGGTCATCATCGCTGCGTCCCCGCCGTCGGCGCTGCTGGCCGCCGCCGGCGCCGGCGCCGGCGCGGGCTGGGGGGTGGGGGGTGGGGGGGCGGGCAGGAGCCCGCCCCCCTCCCCCGGGGCCCTCTCTGATCATCGTCGCTGCGTCCGTCCCCGCCGTCGGAGCTGCTGGCGGCCGCCAGCGCCGGCGCCGCCAGCGCCGGCGCGGGGGGTGGGGGGGGGTTTGGACCCCCCCACTTGGGGGGGGGGGGGCCGAGGTTCGGGAGGGGGCCGGGTAGGGGGGAGGAGGGTCCTCCTGGTTCTGATCGACGGCGCCGAGTGTCGGGGGGGGGGGCTACCCCCCGTTTCGAAACGCGCCGCCGAATGTTCCCAGGGCAAGCGCCCGTGAAACGCGCTCCCTCGCTGATGTTCCGCAAATCGCAGTTTCATCGGATTCCACGTTCGCTGCGGCGGCGCCCACCTAAAGTTCACGCGGATGAGACGGCCGTCGGGGGGCCCGGGCGGTGCTCGGGCTGCCGATGCAGTCAGGAGGCGCATATAGCAGCAAAGGTCCAACGGGAACGCCACGTGCCGTCTAGATAGAGCCGAGGTGCACTTCCACGGAACACTAGGCCATACTCACGTAGGCGCTCATCTCGCCCGAACAGCTGCAAGATCAATCCGCACAGACGGAGGCGAGGATGGAGGCATGCCACACGCTGGTTGCCTGGTACTGCAGCGCGCCATGCGGGGCGATGACTGTCGATCTCACGTGACCTCCACCCCGCGGCAACCAACGAGCCCCAGCACGCGCAGATTCGGATGGCGGGCCCTTCGTGGGGAAACCCATGCACGGCGCCGAGGCACTGGATGCATGCGACTGTCGCCTGGGCCGCTGGGGGTGACAATTGTGGCTGAGCTGGCGCCGCGGGCCCCTCCGCCCAGTGGCCGAGGAGGACGGCGGTGCGTGGCATGGATCGCCGCCTGGCGCGAGGCGCTGCAGGCGCGCCTGGCGCAGCGCTCGAGGCCGCTGGACTAATTCGTTATTCGGGCAGCATGCGTGCTTGCTGCGTACCCCCCGCTTCCCCCTCGCCCCTGCCTCCCTCCCACCCCCCTCGGCCGCCTCTCTCTGTTGCTGGGCCGCGGTCACCTCCAACACGGGGCCGCCTACCCAGGGAGTGCGCGGCCCTCTCCCGAGAGCGCAAGTTTGGGGCCCAAGACGACCAGCCTGATGCCCGGTCTCCGCTGGGCTCGCGGATCCAGATCCAAAGCGGAGCCGGTGGGCGTCGAAACGTCCCCGGGTGTGGGGCTGCTGGCGGGCACTGACGCTTGCAGCTGGGCGCTGCGCCATCCGACCCCGCCAGCAGCAGCGCACCCGTACGTATGCGTGCCCGCTTCCTCCCCCCCCGGGCCCCGCCCTGGCGCCGCATCCCCCCTCCGCCGACCCCGCCCGCTTTCAGCCCGATCCTCCTGCGGCGGCCCCGCTCGCTCCTCTGGCATCTCGTCGCCGCGCCCGCAGGCGTACGTGCCGGCGTGGCGCCGCTGGATGGCGTGGATTCTGCGGATGCAGTTTTTCCGCCAGGGCCAGGCAGCCCGGGTGGAGAATGTCGAGGGAAGAAGTATGTCGGGGGGAGGGGGTGATGATGAGGAATGGGGATGGGAGGGGGTCGGGTGCGGATATTCTCAAGGCGATGGGATCAGAGTGGGCGTGGGGGTCGGCACGGCTGCGGGAGAGTGGGCGGGGGAGGGAGTGCAGGAGTGCAGGATGAGAAAGGGGAGGTGGTGATGTGAGGTGAGTCGGAGAGCATGCGGGGGGCAAGGGTAGGGAATGAGAGGGGACAGGAGTGCAGACGAGAGGAGCGCTGGGGAGGGCAGGGAGACGGGGAGGGTGGTGGGGAGAGGGAATGGGACGAGGAGGAGGAGGGAGGAGGAGGAGGAGGAGGAGGAGGAGGAGGTAACTGGATGAGGATGAGGGTAGGCTCACAGGGAAGGCGGGGGGATGGGGTTCGGGGGGCAGCATGAGCATGTGAAGGGCGAGAGGGGGCGGGATACGGCAGAAAAGGTGGAGCAACGCAAAGCATAGGAGCCATGCCCATGCACCGCACGGCGTGCGTTAGTGGTGCGGCGCCAGCACAACGCAGACCCATCTCTGACGCGAGCTTACTGCCACCACCCATGCTCTAGCTTTGCTGGGAAAGCTTATCCCCAGACACTCGGTGTCTTCATTTGTTCAATATGGGGTCCTCGGAAGTCCCTACCTGTTCCCCCGGATTTTTTCCCGAGCAGTTCCCAATTATCCTGTGGTGCTGGGTCCTAGTTTTCAAGAGAGGGCGCCCTGCTTCCCTCCCTCCTCCTCCCGCTCCCTCCTCCCTCCTCCCATCCTCGTTATTGGCCCCATAGTGATCTCCACAGAGGGCCGCAGTGGCAGGGCTCGCATGCGGTTCCCCGCCCATTTTTCGGCACACCCCTCGCACGTTCCGTGGCCCCATGTGGGACTCCACAGAGGGCCTCAGTGGCAGATTTCGCATGCAGTTCCCAGCCCTTTTCGGTGCACCTCTTACAGTGTTCGTGGCCTCATATGGGAGCTCCACCTTGGGCCCCAGTGGCAGTGTCTGCATGCGGTTCCCCGCCAATTTCGGCAAACCCCTCACACTTTTCGTGGCCCCATAAAGAGCTCCACCGAAGGCCCCAGTGGCAGTGTTCGCATGTAGTTCTCCGCCCAGTTCGGCACACCCTTCACTCGTTCCGAGGCCTCATAAGGTGCTCAACCGAAGGCCCCAGTGGCAGGGTTCGCATGCGTTTCCCCGCCCATTTCAGCACATCCTTGACACGTTTCTCCGTGGCCCCATACGGAGCTCCACCGAGGGCCCCAATGGCAGTGTGTGCATGCTGTTCCCCGCCCAGTTCGGCACACCCTTCACTCGTTCCGAGGCCTCATAGGGAGCTCCACCGACGGCCCCAGTAGCAAGGTTCGCATGCGTTTCACCGCCCATGTCGGCACACCACTCACGCGTTTCGTCGCCCCATAGCGGTCTCCGCCGAAGGCTTCAGGGTTTGCATGCTGTTCTTCGCCCCTGTCATCACACCCCTCAGACGTTTCGTTGCCCCGTAGAGAGCTCCACCGAAGGCCCCAGTGGCAGGGCTCGCATGCGGTTCCCCGCCCATTTCGGCACACCCCTCACTCGTTCCGAGGCCCCAAAGAGTGCTCCGCCGAAGGCCCCAGTGGCAGGGTTCGCATGGGGTTCCCTGCCCATGTCGGCACGCCCCTCACATGTTTTGTGTCCCCATAGGGAGATCCACCTAAGGCAGGGTTCGCATGCGGTTCCCAGCCCATTTCAGCACACCCCTCTTACGCTTTGTAGGCCCCACAGGGAGCTCCACTAAAGGCCTCAATGGCAGGGTGTGCATGCGGTTTTTGTTCCGCCTATTTCGGCACACCACTCACACGTTTCGCTGCCCCGTAGGGAGCTCCAGCGAAAGCGGTGCCACAACGCGGTTCTCACAACTGCATTTGGTTAGGTTCTTCACCAGGATATTTTTGCTCGACGGTTGCCGAGGGACGTTCGAATTTGTTATCGGGGGCCTGTCGCCGATCCCTCAGCGATGCATGGCCGATTCAAGGTCGACGTCCCCCCCCCCATGAGCCAGTCCCCCCCCTCCCACTCCTAGCGTTGTTCCTCGGCCTCCCCTCCCCTCGTCGCCCCCCCTCCTCCCTCCCTCTATCCGCCTGCGCGCGCGGCAGTTCGCCCCGCGGTGCGCGCCAGGTCATCGTCCAGGGCTCCCGCGGCATCTTCAAGCTCTGGCGCGTCATCGGGGACACCCGCGAGGCCAGTCTCGCCCTGGCCACCCGGGTTTCGCTGTCCGGACTTGGGAGCCGTCCTCCTCCAGGGTGCGGCGTTTGACTCGCGCTCGGCGAGGCGCCGGTCGTGAATTGATGAGGCCTCGGTGGTGGACCCTGGCCAGACCGGATTGAGCCCTGCTCCCACTCTTGGTCCGGCCAGGCCGCTCCATGCACATGCAAAGCCCTTGCCACGCTCGGCCCTCTCTTGCCGCTTGTCACACCTGCAAGGGAGCAAGTGCATCCCCAATTCTTGGTGGCGGTGATGGTGTTTGGAGGAAACCGGGGCAGCAAGGTGATGAGGATGACGAAGGAGGAGGAGGAGGAGGAGGAGGAGGAGGAGGAGGAGGAGGAGGAGGAGGAGGAGGAGATGGAGGAGGAGGACGAGGAGGAGGAGGAGGGAAAAGGCAAACCGAGACGGTGGCTTTGACGGATCATGTTTTTGCCTTGAGCCGCATTTTACCCGTGGCCCTCCTGAAAGAGATCGCGAAGGTGCTACCCTCTGAGGCTGCGGAGTTCTATGTCCGGATTGGCCCCTATTGTGAGTTCGCGCAACACCGTGATTGCGCGGTCTGTGACCAACGGAGTGGGCGTTGAGTCGGTGGATTGAACTGCTGTTTTGCCCCAACAGTCTTGTGGTGTTGGGTCTTCGTTTTGAAGAGACAGCGCCCCGCGTCTCCTTCCCTCCTTCCTCCTCCTATTCCCTTCTCCCATGCCTGCCTCTGCTCTCCGCATGTCCACCATTTTGGCACACCGCTCACGAGGATCGTGGCCCCATAGAAAGCTCCAACGAAGGCCCTAATGGCGCCGCCCGCATGCGTCCCAGCCGCTCATTTCGGCACACCCCTCACACGTTTCGTGGCGCCCCACCGGAGGCCCCAGTGGCGCAGCCCGCATGCGTCCCAGGCATTCATTTCGGCACACCCCTCACACATTTTGTGGCCCCCTAGGGAGGTCCACCGAAGACCCCAGTGGCGCAGCCCGCACGTGTCCCAGCCGCTCATTTCGGCACACCCTTCACACGCTTCGTGGCTCCACAGGGAGCTCCACCGAAGGCCCCAGTGGCGCAGCCCGCATGCGCCCCAGCCGCTCATTTTGGCACACACACATACACACACACCTCACACGTTTCGTGGCCCCATTGGGAGCCCCAACGAAGGTCGCAGTAGCTTCGCCCGCATGCGTCCCAGCCGCTCATTTCCGCACACACCTCACATGTTTCGTGGCCCCCTAGGGAGGTCCACCGAAGGCCCCTGTGGCGCAACCCGCATGCGCCCCAGCCGCTCATTTCGGCACAGCACTCACACGCTTCATGGCCCCATTGGGAGCCCCAGCGAAGGCCCCTGAGGCGCAGCCCGCATGCGTCCAGGCATTCATCTCGGCACACTCCTCACACGCTTCGCGGCCCCCTAGGGAGGTCCACCGAAGGCCCCAGTGGTGCCGCCCGCATGCGTCCGAGGCATTCATGTGTGCACGCCCCTCGCGCTGCGTGGCCCCATGGGGATTTCCACAGAGGGTCTCAGTAGCGCGGCCACCAGGGCGCGAGTACACAGAGAGGGAAACATCTGAGAGCCCAACATCCCGCTTGGCTCCTCCCCCCCTTTCCCCCTCCACACCCCTGCCCGCGCTGCCCCGCGCCTCGTTCTTCCTGCGGCGTGCTGCCTACGAGAGCTACTTTGAGTTTGAGCGTCCCTCTCCTTCGTCTCAGCTCCCTCGCGGTACTCGCAGCTGCATATGGTTGGGTCCTTCGCCAGGCTAGTTTCTTCCTCGTTCGCCCTTCTCTTGAAATTGTCTGGACGCTTCAGAACTTCCCTTTCAGCGATGCAGTAGCAGGAATAACATACATAATAGAGAAGGGGGGCGGGAGGGAGAATACCTAGAATAATGATAAGAAGCGTAAGGATGAGGATGTTAATGGAGGAGGAAACAGGCGGAGGATAAGTAGGGAGATGGGGGGAGAAATCTGTGGGCGAGGGAAGGGAGCGAGCGTGCCTGGGGGGCAGAGAGAGGATGGGGGGCTTTAGGACAGGTTGGTGGAGGTACGGAGGGCAGAGGAAGTGCACTCCTCCTCCTGCTCCTCCTCTTCCCTCTCCTCCTCCATCCGTTTTCCAGGAAAATGACTCCCTCCTCCTCCTCCCCCTCTTCCTCCTCCTCCTCCTCCTGCTCCTCCTCCTCCTGCTCCTCCCCCTGAACCTCCTCCTCCTCCTCCTCCTCCTCCTCCTCCTCCTCCACAATTACTCAATATGAATACTACTTTCCCTCTTCCCCCCTGTCGCGCCCCCCGGCGTGTCAGAGGGGCGGGCCGGGCGTTTTGCCACAGACGTCCTCGCCCTTTCGTGACCCGGAGGCTTGAACTTTGCACCCGCTTCACTCGTGGAGTCCCGTTTTCAAAATGGGGCTCTCAATCATGCGCCGCGCAAATTTGTCGTAAACGTTTGAAGTAGTTTCAAGGATGGAAGGCGACCCGTTTCAAAATGTGGTTTTTGCGTTAGCGCCGCGCACATTCGTCTTCCATTCCTGCTATCGGTTCAAGAAAATTGATGGCGTTTGTGGTTTATTTTTGTACTGTTGTTTTCGCCTTGGCGCCGCGCGCATTCGACTTCAAACATTGGAGGGCGGCTCTTTTTCAAACTGTTGCTCTCGGCTTAGCGTCGCGGTCGTTCGTATTCGTCAGATTCTGTATCATTTTCAAGAATTCGTGTTGTTGGAATCACAGGAATGGTGTTATGATGCGATGTACCATTGTCAGGACGCAACAGTCACACGGATTCGACGCATTGAGGTCCCACCCAGGAATGATGTTTTGGCATGGTTGAGGACTGCCAGAACGCATCAGTTACATGGATTCGGGGCATCGTTGTCGCAGGAGTTCTGTGTTGGCACGATTGAGAATGTTCAAACGTTTGTTTTCCGATTGGGCACCTCCCGCCATGAAGCGGGTTCTTGTAGGGACCTATGAAGAGAGAATTTGGAGGGAGTCCTGGGTTTGGGTTTGCATTGGTCCTCCTCCTCCTCCTCCTCCTCCTCCGACGTAGCGGGGTGGTGGAGGGGAGTCACGGAGGAGAGGCGCACAGGAGGAGGGGCGAACGATGTGTGAGAAAGGAAGCTGAGCAGGAGTATGATGCTCGATCGAGGTCCGATATTCAAGGTTTTCTGGGGGAGCCCGAGGGCTCGGTGTGGCGGGGCGCTTCTGTGGGCGCCCTCGTGGCTCCAGCTGGATCTGCCTTGAGGTCGCCCGAAACGCAGCCCAGCAGAGGTGCGAGGGACAAGCCGGTAGAGGAGGAGGAGGAGGAGGAGGAGGAGGAGGAGGAGGAGGAGGAGGAGGAGGAGGAGGACCAGTGTAAACCCAAGAATCATCAACGATGTTGGAGTACACCCTCCCTCCAAGCTCCCTCTTCATAGGCCCCTACAACGGTTCATTTCCATTGATGGAACTGCTTCGTTGGAAGACGCCCGTTTGAAGACCCTGAAGCATGCCAAAACATTATTCTCGGGATTCCAACGCCACGGATCAACCTGATTGTTGCGTCTTGACGATCCAGAATCGTGCCACAACGCCATTTCTAGGATTTCAACACCAACAAACCAACGTAACTGTTGCACCCGCATAATCCTGACCTCAATCCGCGAAGCTCTCGCAATTGTTTAACAAGAGTGTGCGCCGCGCTAGGGCGAGAGCCACAGTTTGAAAAGGAACCGCCCTCAATCCGTGAAGCCCCTTGCAGTTGTTTGCCACGAGTGTGCGCCGCGCTTAGGCGAGAGCCACATTTTGAAAGTCACCCGCCCTCAATCCGTGAAACTTTTGCAAGTGTTCAACAGTAAGAGCGCCGCGCTATGGCGAGAGCCACATTTTGAAAACCGCCCGCCCTCCAGTTGTGAAGAAGTTGCCATTTTTAATTTCAGAGTCATCAGTGGTGAGGAAGTCTCATGCGAAACGCCCCGCCCGCCCTAAAAACTGGTCTCGGAGTACGACAGGGAGAAGTTCTCTATAAGGACAGGAACGGAGGAGGAGGAGGAGGAGGAGGAGGAGGAGGAGGAGGGAGCACCGGATGGATGGGGTAACCAGAATGAGGGGGGGGGGGAGACAGGAGGCGGGCGAGGGCAGCAGCGATGAGGAGCAGGAGGCTGCTCGGCCCTGTCGCAGACGTTCGAGCACTTGTCGAGGATCCACTTCATGCAGAAGATCGTGGGCCTGAATGCCCACGAGGGCCAGGAGAAGATGCGGGCGGAGAAGGAGCAGGGCCAGGACCCGGGCGAGGGAAAACAACAACCGCCGGGCGCCGCGCCTCGGCGGACGTCGGCACCTCTCCGGGCCGGGGCGGGACGCTCTTCACGGCCACCACAGCTTCTGCTGGGAGTTGTCACCACCCACCAAACCACCCCAACCCAACCCGAAGGCCCGAATTTATCCTCGATTTCCAGTGGGGGGGGGGGTCGGGGAACATCGAAAAAACACATGGGATCCGTACCCCCCCCAACCCGAAATGCGGGTCGAATTCGGGCCTTCGGGTTGGGTTGGGGTGGTCTGGTAGGTAGTCAAGTTGCGGGTCTGCTTCGCGATCGCTTTCTTTTTGGCCCGTGATGCGAACGGCGCGGGCGCGAGCTGGCAGGGTCAGCGTCGAGGCCTGTGGCTGCTGCAGCGGAGAAGGCACCAGGCAGGAAGCCTTCTCCCCCCAGGAGCTGGCGGCGAGCGAGAGCAGGGGGCCCGGGTGAGCCAGGGCACCCGGAGGGGGCGCGGCGGTGCTCTTGCGTCGCGCCTCGCCTCTCGTGCTGGGTCGCCCCCTCCAAGCAGACCGTGCGCCCCTCGACGTCCAACAGGCGGGGAACATCACTGGGGAGGGGGAAACAAACACACGGACACAATCCATCGTCGACTCCCAGGAACAGATGGTAAACTATGGGAAGCAGGGGGGACGACGAAAACCCAGAAACAAATGGAAAATATTTGGAATAGTGTTGTTCGTGTCTATGTATTTGTGTGTCCCAGGGCCCCTTCAATCACACCAGGAAGCTGGGTGCACAGGGCGCGGCCAGCCTCGGCGAGAGCTGGATGTGCATGTGGCCGCGTGTCTTTCCAGCCCTCGGCTCTCGTGTGGACGGTCCGCTGGTCCTCCGCACGCGTGCATCCAGCAAGAGCCCTCGGGATGTTGCAATACAGCGAGGACGCTGAAATAAGGAACGCCTCGGGTGCGGAAGGGGCTCGCTGTTCCTTAAGCTCTTCCATGGCTCCTCCTCCATCATTCCTCGTGCACCTAGGCGCTTCTGGGGCCAAGAAGGGGCTTCGTTCCGTATTTGGCGTTCCTTCTGATAGTACCTCGACTGCATGCGAATCGAGCCATCAATGGTTCCAGCTTCCTGGTATACAGATGGCCGACGCCTTGGGGTCCTCTTCTCTCCGTTGGCGTCAGGGACGTGTCCAGTATATTGTGTTATGTTTGTCCACCATTTACTGGCAGGTGGCGGCCCGAACACAGCGTTTATTTGTTTCAGCACCTGTCGCCCTGAGAACGGGCCAGGGAAGTATACACTATACATTGTGTTATGGCGTTTCTGCGAAGCCCCATGCGACAGAGCCCAGCTACTTTAGTGTATATACCTGCAGCTCCCACTCAGTTTTGAATCCCTGGGCCTCTCCTGTGGCGCGTTCGAGCCAAGATTCCGAGGTGAATCCGGCCGTGGCGACTGGGCCTTCCTCGGGAGCCCCCCAGACGCACATCGCTTGAGGAGCTCCCTTCTGCTCCCCCAGCCCTCCCCAGTCGCGACTCGTTTGTGACATGAGCCCCCGAAGCTGTCGGCCTCCCAGGTCGCCTGGGTGGTTTGGGGGGCCCGAGACAGGCCTCCAGGGGTCCAGGACTCGCCAAGAGGTGCACTAGCGGGGATCTCGGAGTGCGAGTTTAAGCGGGCAGGGCGGGGAGACCCAGAGGGGCCATCACTAGCGGGGGCATCTCGGCGCGAGGGCCCTTCGGAGAGAGCTCGCGCAGACAACGTCTTGGAAAGTGATGTATTGGAGCGCCGATAGATGCGCTGCTGCAGGGGGCGAGGATTGGAAAACGAATCAACCGCGAAGGCCGCCAGGGCGCACCCACAAGGGCCCCTCCTAACTCGAATCGACAGTGGCGCAGCGGGCGGACAGAATGAGGGAAGAACGCCGACCTCCCACATGCCGCGACAATAAGTATGCCCACCCCCACCTAATCACCGATGGGGGTACTGTGGGATATTACTGCAGGGTATCAGGCAACAGATGCGACAATTCATAGGACAACCATCGGCCAGCGCGCTCAGGAGGAGAAGTGAGCCGAGAGAGAGAGAGAGAGAGAAGAGAGATAAAGGGAGAGAGAGAGAGAGAGAGAAAAAAAAAAGAGAAAGAGAAAGAGAGAGAGAGGGAAACAACAAAAGAAAGGGGGGGGAGAGAGAGAGAGAGAGAGAGAGAGGGAGAGCGATATTAGGGTAGACACGAAAAAGCAGCAGGTCGCAGGCAGGATGTAATTCGCCCCCCCGGCAAAGCTTGGCATGCAAGGGCCTCCCGCCTTCCCTCCTCTATTCCTTTTTGAGTGGTCGTGTCGTCGCCCCTCCCTCGCTTGGGGGCCCTGCTCGCCCAGCGCGCCCCCATTGTCATGGGCGCGCGAGAGGGCCAACAACTGCCCCCCCCGCGCTGACCCGTGCGGACTCGCACTCACAAGGTAGCGAGCCTCTCTTACGGGGCCACCTCGGAGCTCGCCCCTTGAACCTTCGGGGCGTGCCCCGTGCCGGCCCCAATGAGAAGTCTGGGTCTGCGGCGCAACCTAGTCGCAGGAGGTTTTGCCAGTCGCGCGCACGGCGCCTTCGAAGGTGTTGACATTGACCCCCTCATGCAGATGTCCTGTCCTGTCCTGTCCTGTCCTCCTTCCGTCTCCGCTTCCTCCGCCTCTTCCTCCTCCTCCTCCTCCTCCTCCTCCTCCCCCTCCTCCTCCTCCTCCTCCTCCTCCTCCTCCTCCTCCTCCTCCTCCTCCTCCTCCTCCCCCAAGTCGCTAAATGCGTCGTCGTGCCTTTGTGGACCGAGATTTCGTCCGATTCGATTTCGGACATCCGCGTTATTCTCACGCAGTGTGCTCCGTCATGGGCCGGGTTCTGCATTAAGAGTTGCACGAAATACCTCGGCACCCTCACAGGTCCAGGCGCTACCCTCGACATGATATGGGACGCTCCTTATCAGAAATATGTCGCGAGGTGCAAGGAACTAGGAATGTTGCAATCATCTGCCGATGTCGCCTCGAGATTGTATAATTCCTCCGTCGTTTCTTGCCTCTCTTATCTGAGCCAGCATTATCCCTTGAATTCTACGTTGCAGCGACGCGAGCTCTGGGGTTTGCACAAATCTCTTCATCTCCCCCCGAACTCCTTCGCCCTCTCGGAGCTCCTCTCCCTCGCCTCGTGGTCTCCCTCCCCCGCTCCTCACGCCATATGCTCGTTGGCGGTGGCGAATGCGTGGCGGTCCGCCTCCATGACTCTAGATAATGTTTGGGGTCCGTTGCACCGTCGGCTCCAGCTCGCTGCAGATCTCGTGTCGGGAGTTGTGGATCACCTCCCAGTTGTGGACATAATTCAGCACGCTTGGTGCGCGCCGTGTTGGAAGATGAAGCAGTCGATTGTGCAGTACTACGAGCAGTTGAGATCCGCCGTGCCGTGTCGCCGTCCTCCCCTCTTGGCCTCGCAGCTCCGCCTCGCCCAGAGCCGTGCCCGTGCCGCCGTGCGTGAGGCCGCACTGGAGGGACGCCGGCCCAAGATGCAAGGTCATTTTATGCGTTCGGTTTCTGACTCAGCCTATCCCGACAAACTAGAGCTCCTGATTGGGCGTCGCGTGCGGGCCTGGTTTAATGTCACCCCCACACGACTGCGAGAGAGGTGGGCCCTGGCTCGAGAAATCCTGCTCCGGGCTCCCGCTTCGATCCGTTGGCCTTACTTGAAAACGGTCGCTGGGGGGTGGACGACAGCGGACCGCATGCACGTGACCTCGGAGCGCTGGTGTTGTGTGTTCGGTTGCCACCGCCATCCGGACAGTATTGAGCATCACCTTCGATGCCTTCACCTTGTCCATCTGATCTGTCGTCCTCGTGCGGTGGTGCCCTCATGTCCGCTCATACGTCTCGGACTTGGGCTGCCAGTTCATTATCCAGCGCTCGATTTAACTCGAGAGAATGCTGTCCTTGCTACTTCCCTGTGCTTCTACATCTACCACATAGCCAAGGAAATGGTTGGGCGGCAGAACGGTCGGCCCCTCGATCTGTCTCAATCTCTCGTGGCCCTCAAAGCGGCGCGCACGAAAATGCCTGACAATTACTCGCTTCTTCCGCCTCCGCCTGGAATGGCTAGGCCTTATCCCTGGCTGAAGCGCCCAAGGCGTTGAGTGCAGTGGGACCGATGGACGCATGAGGTACTGGCGCTCCTCCTCCTCCCCCGCCTCTTGTTCCGAGCTTTTCCCAGCCTCCCGCCCCGCGAAGCGGAGCGCCACGTTTGAACAGTGGGAAGCCGACCCCAGCCACCGCAACTATGGATTTTACACGTCAGCGTTCTGCACTTTACGGCGAATGGGCCTAAGTGTAGGCGCCTTGTCGGCGAGACCATTGCCCGCTGCCGCAGGGAGGCCCCGCACGCGCGGCGATGTCCAGGGCCTGCTCGACCCGGCCGCGCCCGCGCCCGCGTTCCCAGGGCGGCGCGTGCCACGGCCGCGGCTCGCAGTTTGAGGCGGCGGCGGCGCTATCCCTCGCGCGGCAGTGCCGCTGGCCCAGCCGAGGGCCCCCGCGCCCGCCTCCGTCGCCCCCCCGACCCCGCCGGCGGAAAAGTTTAGATCGGGAGCGTTTCTCTGAAAGCAGCTGGGCCAATATAAGTTTTTTGGGCGTTTATATAAACGCGCTTTCTGTTTATACTAACTGTTCGGAGCTCTTCCGCGCGAAACTGTCTGCTTCGGAAAAGTTTAGATTGACCTGATATGGATTTTTTTCGCCTGGTGCCTAAACTTCGTTTTCGAAGTCGATCTAAGTTTTTCGACGCGCGCCCGTGCAGGGCGGGCCCTGGACGCCGCGTGGGGCTCTTGCCAGTGCCGCCAAGTGCGGACGCACCCATAGGTTTTTGCCCTGGCACGAACGCGCGAATGTCCACAATGGTTTTGGGCATCGACCGCGTGCCAACACAAGGAAACGCCAAGTTCGAATGCCAATGGGCATGACAGCAGCGCGCCGTTCGCATTGAATGTCGCGGCGTTGTCGCTGGCTGACCGTCGAGCAGTTTCCGCTCTCAGTTCGCGCGTCGTCTGACGGTCCCATTGGTCTAAAGCTTCTCATGTGGGGGGCGGGGGGGTGCTTTTCATGTGTTCAACGTTCGTAGCCTGCAAGACTCAGCGTGTCTCGAGGGATGCCGCCGCGGCACGCGCTATAGGCACGCATTCCCGACTATAGGTTGGTGGCCGTTGGCTTCGCAATCTTGGGGTGATGGCCAGGGGACAAAACAAAGGTCCTGCTCTTCCTAAGGTCGGATTTTGCGGTCGAGAAGTGTCAATCGGGGGCCTGTCACGCAGCAGTGCCTCTCGCGACGAGCTGTGGAGTGGGCCTTGGGACTGGATTCTTTGGCCGCCACTTCCACGGCCTTTCCCACATGCAGCAGGCATTTGTTCCAGTCGTCCCTTGGCACTTAAGTGCGTTCTTCCCAGTGGTCACCCGGCACTGCCCCACAACCGTGGCCACTGCAGTCAAGACGCGAAGAAGAGGACCACTCTGGGTGCAGGAGGGGTTCCGATGTTCGGGTTGCTCCCCAAATCAAGGTCCAAGTCGGGGAACCGATTCGCGGCCGATTTGCTCATTATCATTTAGCTATCCAAGGGGGGTCCGAGTAGTACCGTGGCCAGACAAGGTAAATTCGTTGTTATTTTCTCGGTATGCAAAATGGTGACCGAGTAAAAGAGGTCGGATGATCGCGCCGCATCGCCGATGCATCGGCGACGGCTGCGATGCATCGGCGACGTCGGCGTGGAAAAAAAGTGGGTTCCACATCGAGCCGCATCGCCGATGCATAGGCGATGAGGCGCGATTCTCCACCTCCGTCAATTCGGGCCCCATGTGGGAGGCCTCTACTCAGAGGAGAGAGAGAGAGAGAGAGAGAGAGAGAGAGAGAGAGAAAGAGAAAGAAAGAAAGAAAGAAAGAAAGAAAGAGAGGTCATGATAATGATACGTTCCACGCTTTCCACGATTTCCCAAGTTTCCTGACGTACCACAGGAGCTGCAGGAACGAGGGCCGCTTGCTATTCCGAACATCCTGAAACATACAGTGCCAATCCTATCATGACATCGCTTCCGCCATCCGCCATGCATCTATATATATATATATATATATATATAGATGTGTGTGTGTTAGGCGCTCCCGATGGTACCATGACGGCCTTACCCATCGGCCGTTGAAAGTAGGTATGTTTGGATCCCCAGAACCCAATCTACCTCGAGCGCCTTCCTAATTCAATAATCGATATAGTTTGGCTGTTGTTTGTTATTATTCGGGCGGGCCCGAACCCAATCTACTTTATCCGCCTTCCTACTTCATGTTTGTACCTACTTTTTTCCGACCGACGTATTGTCTTGGCCGGCAGGAGCTCGCTCTGTCTGCCTCGGGGCCCGCCTCCCTGGGGCCCCTACGCAGCTCCTGTGCGCCTCCGGCGCCCGCGGCAGGACGAGCTGCCCGACCCCACCTGCTCGTGCTGCTGCTGCCCCTACACGCCGCCGCCCGTGGCCATGAAGGGCGACAACCTCCTCGACCGGCGCCCTGCTGCCGGACGGGCCGGCCAGGAGCAACGACAGGGGGCTGGATGGGCTCATCCTCCAATCGCCCATTCATCGCCGACAGAGGCCTGGTAGCCCCTCCCGCCTAGGAACGCGCGGTTTCGGCCCATCGCCGATCTATCGGCGCTGTGCCGCCGATTCCAGCTCGATGTTCCGCCCCCTGAGCCAGTCCCCCCCCTTGGCTTCCCCCGTGGCGTTTGTCTACTGGCCACACAGGGTCACCGCTCGTTGCCGTCGCTCGGCTTGACAGGCTGACACAAACTGCTCCGACGGCGCCTGGGAGGGGTGGATGCGCTCGTTTTCGGTTGCCGTTCGGCTGGGAGGAAGACGGGGAGGATAATATGCGTCGTAACCCATAATTGCCCTAACCCAGCCGCGATGTGGGACGTAGCCAGCCAGCTGTGCCGTGGTAGGGTCTCCTACATCAGATATGGCGGTGGTGTTCGTTGTGGAATGTGCCCAAGACCCAAGAAGCTTCAGACCCTGGAGGGTTCCTTATCTGACGAGGGTGGCTGTGATAAATACGGCCCATGGTCATTCCACGATTGGAGTTCCATCAGCTTCCGGAACTCCAGGCCTCCTAGACGGGGTCGGAGTAGATGGGGTCGGAGGATCGCGCGATCCTTCGACCCATCTACTCCGACCCCAACTAGGAGACCTCAAAGAACCTGGATTCCTTCTCCAATGGCTTCTTCTCCAAAGCCCTCACCGTCTTCATGTTGAGCGGCAGAGCCAAAGGACGGGGGGCGATGACCCATGGAACGTATGATCTATGCCGGTAAAGTTGAAGCCCTGGGCGTCGGGACTCAAGGGACGAGGGTCAACGCAAACGGGCCCGGGGTCAGCCAGAGCGCCAGATCTTGCAGGATCTTGCAGGGCCAGGGTCGCATTGACCTGGGCTTGGGTGCAGTATCCTGAAGGATCCTGCAGAATCCTGCAAAGCCTGACTAATCCGGATCTGGATTGACCCGGGTCAGTAGATCTCCGATGGCGGCTCTCACTACGCCTTTGTCCGCAGACAGGATGGCTTCCGCGCACAAGCGAGTGCTGGCGTTCACGCGCGCCTTCTCGATTGTCGAGAGGGGGGGGTCCGCGGCGAGTTTATACTGGATCCTCAAGTTCGCTATAGTGGGGCGAGGCTTGGGAAGGGTCTCGGCCCATGGCTGAAGTACTGATATTCAGTTCTCGTAGGCGCGCGCGTAGTTCACGAAATTGAGATGTTATGCGTCTTCTTGTTTCGGCAAGTTGTTTCGTCGTTCTCGTCCAGCTCGTGCATACGCACAACTATTGGAGGTCCAGGGCCGCACGTGCAATAAGCCACACGGTTGTACGTTATCTGCGGGTGCGTCTTTCAAATTGACCAGTACCACTTAGTTGGTTCATCTAAGTATTTTTGGTAGAACGGTGATCGTGCATACACCATATGCAGTGTGCATGGCCAGAGGTGGGGTAAGCCATCCCCGAGTGCCAGGGCGATTGCGGCCAGGGGATGCGCGTAATGCTCTTTGCCCTGTCGTTGCGCACACTCTTTTTGCTGAGGCTGCCTGCCGCCGCTGCTGTGTAACGTGTTTTGCTTCACGCTTCACGCATGCCCCCTCCTCCTCTCACAGCTTGGCGGCCGCCGCGGGCGTGTCACGTGTGGCTAGCGGCCTCAGGTACGCGTACCGATTCAAGGGCGAGAAGAATGTCTACACCCGCAAGTTGGCAATAAGGCCTGAGCCGTGCTCGGAGCGTGGGAAGGCACAGTTCCATGGCACCAGCTCACATGGTGCAGATGGCAGTGGTCAGGACGAAATGGATTAGGATTCCGAGGAGGACAAGGGTGCTTGCAGTTATGAGCGGTTGCTCGCATACAGTGGTACAGTGGCGCACCGAACCAGAAGTACACGACGCAGTGATGTTGGGCGCGATTGTTTGTTGTATCACAACTGTTACGAACTAAAGTACCGACCAATAATGAATATGCCCCGACCCCAATCAGGGTCTTCTCTCTTTCGAGTACGGGAGCCGAGTCAAGCTTATTTAAAGCATGAGGAATGTTAGGCCAAGCAGCCTGTAGAAACATTATACGTCAAATTACATTATACCCTTGACGGCATATGACCCTACACAGTTCTTCAGGTCATGGGCAAGAAAAAACTCACTCAGCAACTAGTCAGAAGTAATGACAAGAGTACATCCAGAAGTGCTAGCATGGAGTCCGCTCTGTAGACCATAGGGGGAGTCCACGCGGACAAATAAATGGGATATCATGCGGGAGACAATGCGGGAGACCGTACGGGAGACCATATGGCCGACCATACGGGAGACCCTACGGGGGAACTCACGGGATACCCAATAAGCTGAGCGCAACAGTAGTGCGAGCTAGAATGCAGGCCAACGGCAAGCCAAACTCTACAAGCGAAGCTTAATTGTGTTTGGCGAGCAGGGTCTGAGCGATCTTCATGCGGGACAAGCCAAGCAAACACGACAATGGCAGCATTCCTAGGGCACGCCAACGCCAAGCGGCACAACGCCGACGCGAGCTGGTGTTAGCCTCACGGAGCGATGTGGTACAACTTGCGTGTTGATTGATCCACAAATGCGGCGAGAAACGCGCCTGCGGGGGCCTCCTTGGGGGGCCTCCTTGGCCGCACCGATGAGCCCTCGAGGCGTGGTGCGCGGCGCATCGAACCGGAGAGCCCTCGGGGCGTGGCGGGGGACGCACTGGCGGGCCCACGTAGCGGCACCGCGGGATCCTCGGGGCGTGGCGCTCAAAGCATCGGCGAGGCCTCATGGCCGCGCGAAGAATGCGGGCAAGATTTCTATCCATATCCAGAGCGTCTTGGACTTTCTTGGAAGGGGTGCCCCAAGGCCGAGGCGCACTGGACATGGATACAAATGGAGCCTCCAGGGGGCAAGTTTATCCATATCCAGTGCGCCTCGGGTTTCTGGGGAAGGGAGCCCGGCACTCCATACTGCAGTGGGTATGGACAGAAGTATTGCCCGCAGAGAGAAGTCTCCAGAGCGCGGTGTGCGACGCCCGGGCGGGATTCTCGTGGCCACGACCAGGGGGGTCCCCGGAGCGCGTGGCGCAGCGCCTGGCAGGGGCCCTGTGACCGCATGTGGCCGCACCGACGATTCCTCGGAGCGTGGTGTGCAACGCTTTGGCGGGACCCCGTGCCCGCAACGGAGAAACCGTCGTGACGCAGAAAGCAACGTGTGGTCGAGGCTTACATGGCCGCGCCTGGGACCCTCGCGGCGTAGTGCGCAGCTCGCGTATGGGCGAGGCTTTTCATGATCGCGCCGAACAAGACTCGGATCGTCGTGCGCAAAACATTGGCGGAACCTCGTGGCTGCATCGGCAAACATTTCGGGCGAGGTGCGCAGCACATCAGCGAGATCTTCCGACCGGGCCGCATCGAAGGGGCCTCGGAGCGTCGTGCGAGGCGTATCGGCCAGACCCTGCCGAAAACTCCTCTTGGCGGCATGTCCAGGTCCCACAAAGGGTAGTCAGGCAGAGCTGCGTGCAAGCACTGCGTGGGAAGCGCGTCGAACGCAAGCGAAGTGGGATTGCAGCAGGCCTAAGCAACTGACGGAGTTCCCAGGATCATACGGGGGTGCGTGTCTCGGAGTAATGGAGGGCGACAGTTCCGAGGGAGCGAGCGGGCGTGTGGCGTCCGAAACGTCTAAGTGTATTCGTAGGTTTAGTGTGGCAGCATTGCCGAGTAAGCCTGCACGCGCAGTCACACCCATGACGGTTTATTTTTGAGAGTGGGTGCACCAGAGAAAAAAACACAATCACACTTGCTAGAAACCTGCTTAACTCAGCAGTCTAGAAGTGCCTGCCGTAGCCGCACGGGCGATTTGTATAGCAAAGCCTTCCCGATCGTGGCGCACGCAACACGCATGTCTTCAAAGTTCTGTTGTGACCAGAAATTGGTATCGTACGGGCTTTGTCGCTTTCTGGTTGAAAACATATATTGGTGGCGTGCCTGCCATAATCATTTCCGTGAGTAGATACGGATCTACGCCAGAGTGGATTGGTTTAGCGCGATCATTTAGCCATTGCGTGTTCTACCCATCCCAAACATAGCCGAACAACGAACAGCATCACCCTGCGGGGCTTCTAGCCATTAGCACACCGGGTGTCTCATTTTATGACTCAATTAGTTCGTCGATGTGTGACCATGGAGGATGGCACCGTGACAGCGTTTTCTGTGCACCTGGGCATACCTGAACAATTATATCAGCCGGAGAGTTGTGAATGTGTTGTCGCCTCACCGTCTTCTTGTGGTCCTGGCTCTTGTTTTCCTTTTTTCCTTCTTGTGGTCCTCCTCGTCATTGTCTTCTCCCTCGTTGTCCTCTCTCTCGGTCGTCCAGCATTGCCCCTCGTCGTCGTCGCTGCTGGTGCTCGCTCCTGCTCCTGCTGAGAAGAACGGGGGGGGCCAGGATGACAGGCATAGGCATAGGTGTAGACGTAGACTTGCTCCAGTGCAGTCATAGCGGGGGCGTCTGGGCATTGACCTGGTAAGCTCGAGGACCCACCTCCAAGCTGCAAGGACCCCCGAAAGTTTGCAGGAAGGCCCCAAACATCCCCCCTCCTCCCTGGGACCTGCTTTTTGCCCCGTCTGTTTTTCGGCGGCCCTGGCGGAGGCCTCTAAGAAAGAGCCGGGAACGAACAGTTCTGGAGGTCCAGACTTTCCGGAGTCTCCCAGAGGCCTTGGAATACGCCCCTTGAGCTCCATGGAGGTCCAGCTAAGACTTCGAAGTATGGGCCACTTCGGGCTCAGCAGGGCTTTGGTTGCCGAATCTCGTCTTTGCCAGACAGTCCCTTTGTTCCTTTCTTGGCGTTCAGTATGGTAGCACGATGACTGTACAATGTGCACCCGCGAGTGCTCAGAGTTCGCCAGAGGCATCCATATGCTCAACACGGGGCACGGACATTCCAAACCCTCGATCCTCGAGCCTCCTCCTCCTCCTCCTTCTCCTCCTCCTCCTCCTCCCAGAACTCCCAGAATTCCCTTGTCGTGATTTTGTCTCGACGAGGGCTCCAGGTGGTTGGACCCTTGGTGACCGCGTATTCATCCCGAGTCTTTTTCCGACGGTCGGGAGGCCTGGCAAGGGCCCTGGAGGCCCAAATCCGTGAAGGAAATTACGCACGCGTGCATGCGAGAGGAAGCCAGGCTTTCCTCCTCCTCCTCCTCCTCCTCCTCCTCCTCCTCCTGACGAATTGGAGCTCGGTTCCAGCGAGCCCTTCAGGCCCTCGACGTGCGGCGAGCTCTGCTGCGGCAGGGGCTGCAACATCGAGTGCAGCTGCTGCTGCTGCTGCCAGCTGGACGAGCTGCTCACCGAGCTGACGGAGCCGGGGGGGGAGGAGGAGTCAAACGGTGACGATCACCACCCACCAAACCACCCCAACCCAACCCGAAGGCTCAGATTTACCCTCGATTTCCAGTGGGGGGGGGGTCGGGGAACATCGAAAAAACACGCGTGGAACCCTTACCCCCCCCAACCCGAAATTCGGGTCTTCGGGTTGGGTTGGGGTGGTCTGGTAGGTAGTCAGACGAGGCGTCATGGTCTCCTACAGGCCCGGCAACACATATTTCAAGGACCCAAAATAGAATAAATGCTTCACCTTTATTGATGAGGCGGTGCTGTTCCGAGGCACTCTCGAGCGTGCTCTACATTTTTGTTGTTTCGAGCATGCCGTTGTTCAAAGAGTATTTCGTAGTCGACCTGTAGGAATACTGAACTGCGAGGGCCGGTCGATGCTGAACCAGGGCAGCAGAAACAAGGACTTTGTAAATCAGGGTTGTGCCAGATCTAGCGGGAGAGAGCAACGGATTGAGAACATCGAGTCTGCGGCTAATGTTTTCTCGGGTGTGCCAGTGTCCTGGTTGATCGAAGTCCCCATGTACGGGGTCCTGAGAGGGGCAAGGGGAGGACGAGGTGGGGGAGCGGGAATGAGGACGACGAAGGGGAAGCAGGGAAGGGTGGGCGGAGAAGGCGAAGGGGAAGCTGGGAGATGTGGAGGATGATGACGAGGAACATATGATGATGAGGAGGAGGAGAAGGAGCAGCAGGAGGAGCAAAAGGAGCAGTGTGACCATGATGATGATGATGATGATGATGATGATGATGATGATGATGATGATGATGATGATGATGATGATGATGATGATGATGATGATGATGATGATGATGATGATGATGATGATGATGATGATGATGATGATGATGATGATGATGCTGATGATGATGATGATGATGATGATGATGATGATGATGATGATGATGATGATCATGATGATGCGGAGGACGTGTAGAAGCATGGCGGATGTATCTTTGGAAAGTTCGAGGAGGCTTTGCGACATACGGGGTCGCCATGGGTCTAGTCTAGGGCGTCAAGGAGTTCTAGGGGGAGGGGGCGGGGAGAGGATGAGCCAGAAAGCGGCCGAGTATGTGTTTCGGCACGGGCCCTAAGGTCCGCCATCTACAGGGTAGTATGTCTCCCAGCCTGCTGGTCCTAGGCCGACCAGGAATGGGGGAGGGGGGGACGTTGCCGGAACGTTGGGTGATTGGGTCGGGCCCTTTGCTGTCCCCTCAGCACGGGCCCCTCCGCCTTCCCCACGCCTCCTTCTTCGCTCCTCCTTTTCCTCCCTCTTACTGCCTTGACTCGAACGGTCGATTTGCCTTCTTTATGCCTTTATAGGATGCTCACATGTCCCTCTGGGAGGCCCGCCGTTTTGCTTGCCTGTGCTTTTACAGTGTTATACCTTGACCGTGTTATTCAGCTCATCGTAGAACAGAGCTTCTTCCCCTATGCCTCTAGTTCTAGTCGGTAGCGGAACTTCGGTTCCCTTCCACGCGCCGCCATGGCGCCTCCCCGCTGCCTTGCCTCTGTGTTGCGGAAACCCGAGCGGGAGAAGGCAAGGGACGCATCGCCCTCATTGCGCCCGTTCGTGGATGTTGCCGACCATGTCAACCAGTCGTTCGGTCCGACGCGCACAACATCGGCGTCGGCAAGGCGTCCCGAGTTGTCCGCAACTGTGTTGTGGAAGCTTGGTGAAGCGCGTGCAGGAAACACCGGGGATACAAAGGAGGGTCGGGCAACTATGTTGCCAGTCTTCCGGGGGACCGTTACACAAGCTTGAGACTACTCGTTATAATTCCTCTGGGGCAGGACCTTCAGGGTACTTACGCGCACCTTGATGCTAGGCAGACTTGGATGCTTATACGTACTTCTCCTGACGATCGCAGAGTGAGCAGTGCTCGGCGCATTAGCAATGCAACCCGCGACGGTTTTTTTCGTCACTAGGTGGCGGAGTGCTTCGAGTGCATCCAGCACTCCAAACGCCCGACAGAAGACACCACCCAATACGCTAATGAGGGGGGGCGCAACCAGGGACAAATATCCACGACGGCTCCGCGGATCACTACCAGAACAGCGCCGTTGGTGGGTACCAAGGCCGTCACGCTTCCTCGACACCTGGAGAGGGCACCATTTGGGATTGAGGGCCATCGGAGTGGGCGCGGTCTTGCTATCAGGGGCTTCGCCTGCGTGAGCGCGGGCGGATGCGGCAGCGGAAACACGCGACACCTCCGCACCTGTGGGCCCGAGCAGCAGGCTCGCTTGCCCTGCCAACGCTGGGTGCGGGAGGTGATGCTTGGGTCAGTGGCGAACTCGAATCGAAACGAGTATCGCCAAGCGGCCTACAGTTCGTCTTGCTTGACCGGCATGGCTCGCGAGTGCGTGGTCGAGTGGCCGCCAGCTGTCCTCGTCCAAGGTGGACATATCAACGGCGACCCAATGCGGCCTATGACTTACCCCGTGGGAAGCTTGGCCGAACGGCGGGGCCGGCTTGGAGAGGGGGAGCGCACGCGGGCGGAAACGCCCGGCCCGAAAAAATGGAGACGCCTGAGTCTCGGGGCAGGGGGCGGCTTTCGCCGCGTGCCCGGCGTTTGCCCCTGCCCGGCGACGTCTGAGCTTTGCCCCCCGCCGCCCCTCGAGAGTTGCCTGCAGATCGCTGATATCGGCGAGGGTAGGCTTCGGATGCCGCCGCCGATCTTCCAGACGCCCAGCTGCTCCAATTTTTTCGATGCGCGGGCCCCAGTCGAGGTCCGGTTGGCGGCCGCAGTCTGGTCATCTGGCAGTCCCTTCGGAATCCGAGCGACGTCCGCCAACTCTATCTGGGCGGCGCCAAGTTCGACACCCGCAGCCTCGTCGGCGAGCAGTGGAAGGACGCCCGCATCGTCCAGTTTGTCTTGGATGACGAACAGCCTTTTGCAGCCGATGCTGGGCAGGGCCAGGCGGGGCGGTCAATGATTGTGTTATCGGCGCCCCCGAGGGCGCCGCCAGCGTCGCCGAGGGCGCTTCGCCGCCGGCCTTGTCGGTTATACCCGAAGAGGCCGACATCGACTTCGCCGGCCACATCCAATGGGCGGCGTTGGCAGCGCGGCAGGAGGCCGAGGGCGCGGAGGATCTGACCATGGAGCTCCAGGAACTGGAGAGCACCGACAGTCGGCACATGGTCCACTTTGCTGTCGAGCACGCGGCCGCCCGCAAAGGCCGCCAGCCACGCGCGAGTGGCCCTGGCACCTGGCGACGCAGTGCAAGCGCAAGCGCGCCCGCGCGCAGCGCCGCTATTACTTGCGCGGCGCATCTTCAGACGACAGCGCCAGGCTGGAGGAGGAGGGCGGAGGAGGAGAACCGTGCGGCGATTTGTACCTGGACCCAGGATTACGAGAGGCATTTCCGAGCTGCCTCGGGAGCAACTATGTTGCCGCCGCGCCCTCCGCAGCCGCGGTTAAATCACGTGCCACCTCCAAGAACGCGGTGACCAAACGCGACGCCGATCTTGCATCCAGAGTGGAGATGTCGAGGCTGTCCAGGGAGGTGGCCGCCGGCATCCCCGTGGAGCTCGCGATCAGGGTCGGACACATGCGTTTCGAGCGACGACCTTAAAGCCGCTCGGAACGTCGCGGGCTCACGACGCGCGATCAAGTGGAAGCGCCGCGTGGCGTCGAGAGGCTTCTGAAACGCGGGCGCCGGAGCCCTGGGGGCATTCGCTGGCGCGGCGAAACGGGCGTCCCAGCGCATTCTGTCCTCATGGCCGGCTCGTCGCCCAGACTTGGCGCGCGTTGCCGTGGGCGTCGGGAAGGCCTTCCTGCGGGCATGACCCATGCCGAGATGCAGGGGCAGGGCGAAGCACCAAGAGAGGTGAACTTCGCCCTGCCGCCCAGCAGCGCTGCCAACTTCTGGCAGTTTCCAGGCTGCGAGTCCGCCGAGGAGCGGACCGCGTGCCCGCGCTGCATCAAGGTGGGCGCGGGCTGCGAGGGTGCGCCGAGAACCGTCTGCATGATGCTCGCCAGCGCCGCGCGCTCGCCCGAGCGCAACGCCGAGCCGACGCGATGGCGCCCTGAGCTCGAGGTCAAACATGAAGCGTCCAGCACCTGTGGCGCCCGCGACCCAGAGCTAGTGCTCATGCTGTCCAGGCGCTTTGACGGTCTTAAGATCATAGGGCGCAAAGAGCTCGCGGACCGACTCCCGGGTCACATCGCGAGCGTCTTCGACGAGACGAACGGGGATTACGACGACGTCGCGAATTGCATAGTCCACCAGCACCGCGGTGCCGGCGGTGCACTGGCGCTCGGCCAGGGCGAGTGCATCGACGCGCTGATCCCCATCAGGCACGCTTCCCCAGTCGAGTGGAAGGCCGACGAGCTGGCCGGAGGTCCCCTAGCGGACCTCCTTGTCTCCATCCACGGAGCAGCTCTCCACGCGCTGCTCGCGCAACGCCGCTTTGCCGCTGACGTCGTCGCGCTGCCATGGGCCGGGAGCAAGAGTATCTCAACTCGGTTGTTCTGACCATGCAGAAGATCACGGGACGCATATCCCTCTCTCCTCCCCGGCGATGGCGCGCGTGCGCGCCAGATCTGCGCATGCAGCGACGGCTCGGTCAAGCGCGAGGAAGAGACAGGATGCGGCATGCGTGGCGCCGTGCACATGCGTCTGGGGAAGTGTCGCAGCGCTGGTAAACAGATCTGCGATTTGCTCGACGCTGTTAGCCGATCGCACAAGCTTGGCTGTCGATCATCATGCGGCTCAGGGCTGATTTCAGCATGTGGGGCAGCAGACGGCCTGAGGCGCGCGTCCTGACGC